TCCAGGGCCACCATTCAAAGTCCAGTACACCTTCAAGGCTACAGCAAGGTAAGTCAGCCTTACCCTTGCATATTTCGTTTCCAGCACATGTAAATATAACTCCTTTTCGTTTTCAAGCATGTATATATTGTTGTTTTTTTTCCTTTTTTCTTTTACACCCTTATAGTTTTGTTCTATTGCCTTTTGGTTTTTTCTTTTGGTTTCTTATAAATATTTTAAGGATTAACTTTTCCCTAAGGTAGTGCTAGCATGGACTTAGGTCATGTTGCTATTTAACATCTAAAACGAAAGAAACAGGAGACAGGAACATGAAACGAAGCCTTGGGCGTCCACACTGATTTCACTGGCCCAACCGAAGAAGACAAAAAGGCAGGCTGCACCACACTGGTTTCCAGGCAGAATCGAAAGGCACAACCTGCTGCTTCCAGGCCCAGTCGAAGGATACAACTCATTGGTGCCAACCCCAGTCGAAGGATACAACACACTGGTTCCAGCCCCAATCGAAGGACACGCCTACACTGGTGCCAGCTCCAATCGAATGAGGCCCAAAATTGCCAATCAAAGAGTTCTCCTTCCCCAATCGAAAGACTCTCATTTTTCTTACTTTTATCTTATTTTTTTCTTCTATATTTTCATGCAATTCGATATGGTTGTAATAGTGTAGGACTTTATCTTTCTGCATTTTATTACTTTTGTATGCTTGTTAGTAAAATAGGAAATGTATGGCAAGATACAAACAATAAATAGACAACCCAAAAATCAAAGACTAAATGCATTCAATCAAATACACTTTGCACACATGCACCCTTAGGGTAATCCCACTTGTTTCCTATCAGAAAAATAGCCATATCCCTCGAACATGAGCGTTTTAGTAAAGACCCTTGATAAAAGATCGTAGTCCCTCGATGACCCTCGATGTTGCCTTCGGTAAATGATCTAGTCCCTAAACGATATTGCTAAAACGACCCATAGGTTACCTTCTATGACTATACAAACATCCCACGTCTGTCCCTTCACATCCAACGATGAGGCTTCTTATCAAATCAATGGTAAGATAGCAACATATAAAGGAGGAAGAAAAGAACATCTAAGACCTTTTGAGTAGGTAGATTTGCTCCTAGTTTCTCGCTTGCTCACAACAAAAACATTTCATACACCCATGCACTCATTTGAAAAAATTTCAAAAGACAACACTTTGTACGCATTCTTATAGAAACGAGAGCCATTACAAATACACCTTTTCAAAATCACTTTCAAAAACACATTCCACAAACACCTCTTTGAACTATTTTCAAAACAACACTTTGTACGCATTCTTATAGAAACGAGAACCATTACAAAGACATTTTCAAAATACTTTCAAAACTCACATCGCAAACACACATTCAAACAAAAGAAAGTGATCTAGAAAGCAACTAAGAGCCCGTAGATAACTATGGATGAAAAGGGTGTTGATACCTTCCCTTTTCATAATCTACCCCCCGAACTCAGGAAACATCTCTAAAGGTCTTTCATGTTCTTTTCAGCCTTTCCTTATTGGATAAAAGAAAAGTCGGTGGCGACTCTTACTATCCGTAACAATTGCGATCAAACGCAAAACATTCAAGTCAGTTCTCCCACTGTGTTACAACACCTCTCCCGACAAAGATAAGAATACTTTCAAACATGGTGGGAGGAGACCCATATATGACTTATTGGCCCTTAATACTCGCAAAAAGTATATTGGGAGTGATGTAATCCTCACCCATGACATTCCATCTCCACCAGCTCCTAAGTTAGACACCATGGTATCCAAACCTATTAGGTGGTTCAAATACCGCAAGGTGAAAAATGATCATATTGATGATTGCTACCAGTTCAAGAGATAAATTTAGTGACTTATCTTAGACGGTTACTTGAATAAAGTATGTTAGGGAATGTTCTTAGTAGGAAGAAGTAAAATCCAAAACATAGGGGCGAGATTATCACATAAGTTTTAGGTCTATAAAAATGACTAAGAGCTAGAGAGAATAGAGGAATATATATCAGTTTGCCATACACTTAGTTGATGTTTTTGTATCGGGACGTATTTAAGGGGTTAAGCTTGGAGCCAAAAAACTTATAATAATTTAAAGGTTCTCTAATTGGTTTCTCATGACAACAATTACTAGTGAAGGGTTACATCAGCTTGAAGAAAATATTCAGATTAGGAGAGAACGCTCAAATGATCAAGGTCAGATATTTGGTTGTTGACGCCCCTCATCTTATAATATTATAATTGGACTGCCCACTTTTAATCGTTTGGAAGCCTTTTTATCATCAACACTCTATTTAATCATGAAGTGCTTTCTAGAAAACTATTGTATTAGTGTGGTTCAACAAGACAAAGAAATCACCCGTAAGTGTAATCAAGATAACTTAAGAGTTAAGGGAGCAACAATGGCCTCTTGCACTGCCCCAACCAAATATTCATGTGGTAAACTTCATTGATCTCGATCCTCGAGAAGTGCTTGAGAGAAAAAAGAGCCATTGCCCACAAGCTATTAAGAACTGGTAGCTATTGGCCGACCCTAATAGAGAGTATTTGTGGGTTCATTAAGAAGCACTACGAGTGTCATAAGCATTCTTGACTTCATCACGCCTTCAATTGAAATCCTACATAAGGTATGTTCTTTCCTTTATTGACTTTAACTAATTTGACATTTCCCGCTTATAATATAAGATCTATGTTTGAACATAGTATCTAGAAAGGCCATGCAGTCGCATCAATGAAGAGGTTAAAGCATGTCCTTGGAGAAACCTTATTTGTCTATAAACTAACAAAATAACTAACCCTTGTGCCAAATTAATTGAATTTTCGTATGTACAGAGTTTGAAGAAGGCTTAATACACATTTTATATGCTCAACAAGGAAAGAGAGATTGCATGCATACATAAGTTCCCAACTAAGAAAATAATTGGTAGGAGAGAAAACTCAAAAGTGACCCCATAGGACGGGAAGGAAGGTGAAAGTGCGCTTAAACAGGTGTTCACACCTACTCATATTGTAAAATTACTCCCTAAATGGGAAGTCCAATACATGATGTATTAGAAGTTACCTCATGATGTGTAGAAGCTTCAAGGGCAGGGTGAATGACTCATCCCTAAAATCTAGAAGTCAGTAAACCTGAGATATTGTTACACTTAATGCTTTTATATTTCCTTTTGATTGAATAAGGAAAAGACATTTACACCGACATTGTGTGAATTATCTAGACTCATTTTTAATAAATAAAATAGATAGTTATAAACTATTTTGCTCTACAAGAATACTATGAAAAACACATACAATAACGATTGTGAAACGTATATAATGACGGTATCACATCCATTGTTAGATAGCGTGTGATTGTATATATGTTAGTTACCATAACGAGCATGCAACCATTGTTATAAATTAGATAGAGTGTTAGTTATAACTATGGTTGTAGGAAACAACCATTGTGAAATATTATTTCTGAATAATTCTCAATCCTATCATACCAGAAACAACAATACACTCAATTGTGAATTGAATATCAAAACTTGTATTACATCAATGACACAATTCTATTAGGAACCAAACAACCTACAATATTCACATCATTACATCAAACTATGCTATCAAAACTTTCAAAGAAGAGGAAAAATAAATTTGAAAAGATAAAGAGATGTAATCATTCAACAGCTCGAGAAAAAAAAACTTGAAAAGACAAAGAGATATTTCCAACTTCCAAGAGAAAAAACAGAGAGAATTAAAGAAGAAATAATGAGCAAACTTTACATGTGTGAAATCTTTTGGCTTTTAGACTTTCAAGATCAGAGAAGAGGAAAAGGAAGAATCATCAAACCAATATAAAAGCGAAATTCCTCTTTGAACCAAAACACAAAAAAAAACTTCATCCAAAGAACCCAGAGAAGAGGAAGAATCAAAATGAGTACTTTTGTTGTTGTAGAGGTTAAATAAGAGGTTCAAGAAGCTGCTGAGAGAAAAGAAGTTGTTGTCGCTGTAGAGGTCCAAGAAGTAGTCCAAGTCGTTGCAAGAGGTCGTGTTACCAAACCTTTGATGCCCAGGAGAGCTTCCCGGAAGAGGAGATCAAGAAGAAGAATGACGAAAAGTCTAGTCATCATCGATTCTGATAATGATGATGATGAAGCAGATTGACAATGGTCAAACTTTATCTCAGCCATAGGATTTAGATATGATCAAATTTAACTCTTAGTTCAAATTTATCCACTGATCTAAGGTTATGTGCTACACATAGTTCAAATTTAAATCTTAGTTTCAAGTAATTTAACTCTCTCTCATACACACTAATCTAAGATTATATGCTGCACACTACATACTATAGTTATAAGCTACAAAATCTGAATAAAATCAAAACACAGTTGCAATAAAACGAAAATAAAGGAAATGTGAATGGCACATTAATGCTTCAAACACAAAATCTAAAACATATACATATCCAACGCCAAAATCTAAAGCATAAACATTCATAAGCCATTAATTCATGAAAGAAATCCTAAACATTCATAAGCGTCGAGGAGAGATAATAGTAACATACCTGAAATGATATCGGAAGAGGATGATGAAGATTTCTTTCTAGAAATGATATTCGCTATCGTTGTCGTCTCCTTTACTAGAACACCCCTATATGTTATGAACAAAATAAAATACCTGCTATGTTTTAATATTGTGGGGAAAAAATGGTTTATTGTTGAAAAATTAAAAGTATACTTAACCAAAAAAAAAAAACGTAGCATATACAGTATATTATAATTAGACTGCTGCACGTGAAAAATTTAAAAATTGGTCGGTACAATTGTGCTCAATTGTCGATTAAAATATATTTATGTATTTTTTTGGTGAACTATAAACACGACAAGTTGTGCTCTTCGTGGAACGCGTGCAAGCTTATTATATAAAAATTAAACACAACTTCAATTAAAACAAAAGCATATATATGATGTAATAGTTCCAATCATAACATCCTTGTCTAACAATGAAGCATGTTTCATCACTCACCTTCTCCTTCCTCATCTTTGTTTTCATCACAAATGTTTCACTAACTTTCTCAATAAACTTTGTTGAGCAAGTATTGGACGTAAATGGTAACCCCATTTTCCCAGGTGGCAGATACTATATTTTGCCAGCAATTCGTGGCCCTCCTGGTGGAGGATTAAGACTAGCAAAAACTGGTAACTCAGAATGTGAAGTTACTGTCTTACAAGATCACCATCAAGTTATAACCGGCCTACCAGTGAAATTCAGTATACCGGGAATAAGTCCTGGTATAATCTTCACTGGCACTCCGATTGAGATTGCGTTTGCAGAGAAGCCAAATTGCGCCGAATCTTCAAAATGGTTGATATTTGTTGACGATGTTGTTCAAAAAGCTTGTGTTGGTATTGGTGGTCCTGAAAATTATCCTGATTTTAAAACATTGAGTGGTACGTTTAATATTGAAAAACATGAATCTGGATTTGGTTATAGGCTTGGATATTGTGTTAAAGACTCTCCTACTTGTTTGGATATTGGGAGGTCTGATAGTAATGTGGATGAAGGTGGATCACGTTTGAATTTGACTCATCAAATATCTTATGCGGTTGTGTTTGTAGATGCTGCTGCTTATGAAGCTGGAATTATTAAGTCTGTTGCTTGATACATTTCTTGTTAATCTAAACTAGTAATATAGTTTTGATTCTTGTTATGATGAATAATAACTATCAGCTTGCATAATGCAAGCACCTTCCTTAGTAATTGCACTTTCTATTTTGGTGTTAATCATCTATACTTTAATGTTTTCTCTTGGGTTATTGTATATATTGAATTTCTTCACAAATGACATGTGGAAACAAATGAGTGAACTTACTGTAAACAATTAAAATGTGCAAATTTTCTGTCAAAGCACAAAATTTCAAATTATAATTTTAAAACATAGAACTTGAGTAGTGATTTTAATGACAACTGGGTCAAATAATCAAACTCAATGCATTAAAAGCTGGAAGAAAAGATCATCAATCACCACTTTATAATCATACTCAAGTTTGTTTGCATTGTCATGTAATTCATCCATCTCATTGCTTGGAACCTGAATTCCAACTATTCCATTTGCTCCAGGTTCACCCCGTTAGCCACATCAAGCACAAAAATTCCATTAGATTGGGAAGGAGAAATAAATATGTACACATTAAATAGTTGAGGCGAATAATAGAATGTCGCAAATTCTCACTTGTGCACGGTAATGGAATAAACTGATATTCCATCATGGGGAAAGGTAAAGCGGAAAAGAACTTCGCTCTGAATATTCGATCAAGCTCCCATCTGAAAACAGGATCAGTCAGTTATGGCGATGCGTTTAGTAAAAAGTTTCTGACCATTAAATTAAATGGAGCAGCTCTTTGTCATGTGTTTAATGGGAAACGGAAATGATATAATTCAGAATGAAGGGAAGCCAATTTACCATGTGAGGCAAATGATCTTTCAACAAAATCAACATCAAAGAGATTGTGAGTTTCAAGCTCAAAAGATTCCATTTTCTCTTGCATTTGATTTAGCTCGGAGGATGTGTGAGTCCCGACACCGCACACAAACACAAAGAATAATAAAATATTACTGTCTTGGTACAAAACTTGTTATCTACTTCTAGTATGTTACCCGTAAAGGACAATAGCTTTCTCCTCATGATTATATTCATCGGCCCCACCTGTCAAGGCCAGAAGAAAATCAATTTATCTCTATTAAAGAAAAAAATAACAGTGAAGTCGTTGAAACATACCAATTGACAAAATTGTTTGAAACTGCCAGGCTCCTCCGGCAAGACAGTTAACTTTACAGTCATCCATATGGAATTCTACAAATTTAATATTACCAGTTAGACATGAAATAGGATAAATTAGAACATGTGTATAAAATAAAACATATTAGTAATCCAAACTCTATTTAGCAGGTACTATATATTGCTGTGAAACAATGCAGAGCTAAACATATGAAAAGTATAAACTGAAGCAACAATCTAAAATTACATAATAGGCCAAAGCCAAAAGTCATAGAATAAGGCTAAATATAAATCCTTCAAGCTTACCATTGATATTGATACTGTCTCAAAAGGGTTGATCCACAATTAACGATATCTTCACGCTTTAGTGAAATTTCACAGAGAGCCGTAATCAAATATGCTACCACGATTCTATGGAATCCAAATGACACAAATAAGCATGCAATGATCATAACTAACCATGAATTTTCTATAATGTTCTACAACTTATTGATTGGTTTGGCAACTTGAACTTGCAAGAACACAAATTTCAATTCATACCTGTAGTATCCCCAACCATCTTATCTGCTTCAAATCCACTCCGAATGACAAATCATTTACGCGATGAACATCACCTCCTGCTAACGACAAAATGCAAGTTCTCATTATCTAGCATATACATAACATTACAACATAACACAAATTGAACAAAGTGTTATTGTATCAAGTGAGATTTGAATCATGTCCCATAAAGTTATAGAAGCCATTGACAAGATTAAATGGAAGGAATGAAAAAAACTTTCCGTTATGGTATTTTGATCCAGTACCATTAGGTCTATAATTCACTCTGTTGCATCCCCAGCCTTTCGAACATTTATGTATTCACAACAACACAAAGCCCCGCTAGCAAACTCCACCTATAAAAATTATCTATTTTATCGAATGATAAGTCATGCCGTTTAAGTACAGTTTTCTTGTATTTACTCTTCAATTAAACTCATCATTTTCTTAGTTGCACAAACTTTCCTACTAAGTCAGCTGCTCATCTACTATAAAGTTTAATAAAACATGATTAAAATTTGAAAACCAAACCAATCCACAAATATTCACCCAACACCCAATACAACTACACATCACAAATACATCCATCAAAGCAGCTACAATTTACTCAAGACATACTTGATGCCACTTTAGTTCATACCAAAATAGGGTACAATACAGGTTTCTTCGAACCAGGTTTCTCCGATCTTGTTGGTTATCACGTTGGCATAATATTTTGATGTGAACCTTGTTTCACTTTTAAATCCCTGTAACATGAAATTTAACAAACACAAATGCTACTTTAAGTGTTAATCCACAACATAAAAGAAATCTCAAATCTGAAACTCACATAAAGAAGAAAAACTGAATCAAAATCACAATCTTAAAACTGAATCAAAATCACAAAAAATTAATTAAATTTACAAATCTTGCAACCTTGAATTTGGGTCAAATTTCTTGAAATCACAAACCTTTCCTTCATAATCAACTTCTGATTAGAATCATATAACGTCAAGAGGTTGTCCTTCATAACAACTGAGAACCATTTCTCAATGAGCTGACCCACACTCATCAGATTGCTTTTGATTCCAGAAACATACCAAACATCTTTGATCAGAATGTTTTTTCCGTTCTTCACTCTGACTCTGACATTTTCCATACCTTCTGCATTAAGATACTTATCATCAGCACATCTGATCTTTGTTTTCCTTGTGGAGTCAAAGTCTATCAGCCATTGTTTGTTCCCAGTCAAGTGGTTTGAACAATCAATGTCCATATACCACCAATATTCTAAACACTTTCCATCAGAATCAGAAGCCATAAGTAGCACAGGTTCATCATCAGAATCTTCTCTGGCTATATTTGCTTCTTTTGATTTCCTTCCTCTGTTTCTACAATCTCTGGAAAAATGGCCAAACTATTTACAACAGTAACATTGAACCTTCTTCTTGTCATACCTTTCCTTTCCCTTATGATATTTCCTTTCATCAGAAGTTGAGGTTTCTGACTTCTGGAATTTATCACCACGTCTATTCTACTTCTGGCCCTTCTTAACAAAAGAAGCCTTCAAAGCTTTCTCCACTTCCCTCTCAGGAGTTCTTTCAGTCAGACGCAACTCCTGGGCTTTTAGATTGCTTTGCAACTCTTCTATTCTCATGGTTTCCATATTTTTAGAATGTTCAATAGAAACAACAATGTAATCAAACTGAGGAGTAAGTGACCTCATAATCTTCTCTATGATTACCTGTTCAGAATATGTTTCTCCACAAGCTTTCATATCATTAGTGATCAGAATCATTCTGGAGATGTACTCAGAAAGTTTCTCACTGTTCTTCATGTTGAGATTCTCATATTGCTTTCACAGGGACTGAAGCTTCACCTTTTTTACTGATGCGTCACCACCATAACATCTGACCAGTATATCCCATGCCTCTTTCGATGTTGTCGAATCAACAATCTTCTCAAACACACTTTCATCCACACACTGATGGATATAGAACAAAGCTTTCTGATCCCTCTTCCTTGTAGCTCTTTCTGTAGATCTTTGTTCTTCAGTAGCATCTACTGCAACTGGAACATAACCATTGGTAACAAGATCCAGAACATCCTGAGCACCAAATAGCACACGCGTTTGTATCATCCATCTGTTCCAGCTTTTGCCATCAAAAACTGGAAGTTTAGTGTTCAAACTGCTGCCTCCACTCATCTTAAACCTTTCACAAATCTCAGATCTCACCCAATGTTTCCCAAACCCACAAAATCAGTGTGATTCTGTTCAGATTTTTGTTCAAGATTTAACAGAAATCAGGAACCAAAAATCAAACACACAACTCACTATCACTCGTGTTTCCCAGAATTTCAGAACAAACCAAGAGCTCTAGATACCAATTTGTTGGTGCAAGGTGATGAAATTGAGGAAGAAGAGAAAATGCTAAATGCTAAAAGCTGCTACTAATGATTGGAAAAAGGAATTGTGTTGTCATTAATGAAACCTAATAAACCTATTTATACATAAAAGTAGTAAGGATAAGAATGCCACATAGACTCTAAAAGAATATCCTAAACATAACAAATACTAAATTACCCCTTTAATAATCTTCACTGGCACTCCGATTGAGATTGCGTTTGTAGAGAAGCCAAATTGCGCCGAATCTTCAAAATGGTTAATATTTGTTGGCGATGTTGTTCAAAAAGCTTGTGTTGGTATTGCTGGTCATGAAAATTATCTTGATTTTAAAACATTGAGTGGTACGTTTAATATTGAAAAATATGAATCTGGATTTGGTTATAGGCTTGTGTGATACGGTGGCAGAACCGACTGTTATACTGGTTTTGCGTTTGTATTCGCAAATGTCGCGGTAAGCAAGAGTTGCCACCGACTTTTATTTCATACAACTAAGGAAAAGGAAAAAGAACAGAAAAAACCTTTTTCGAGATGTTTCTGAGTACGGGGGGGGGGGGGGGGGGGGGTAGATTATAGAAAGGGAAGGTGTTAGCACCCTTTCTATCCGTGGTTTTCCACGGGATCTTAGGTACTTGCTCATTTTGAAATTGCTTGTGTGTGTTTTGAAAAGTTTTTGTTTAACTTCGTGATAACCCTTGTATCTGTCCTCAAGAGTGTGATGAAGTTGTTTTTGAAAACTGTTTTGAAAGTGTTTGTGAAAAAGAGTTTTTATTGTTTTGAGCAAGTACTTAAGAGTTTCTACCCACTCGAAAAAGATTATTCATTTTCTCGTTTCCTTTAGACAGTGCTATCCTCCTATTAGTGAGTAGGTAGCCCTATCGTTGGATGTTAAGGGACTATCGAAAGGGACGCTATGGTCATCGAAGGCAACATGTAAAGATATGTTAGCATTCGAAGAGAC